TTATATGTCACGTGAATCTGCTGTAGCCATATAGAGAGACCCCATCAAAAACCCGTGGAACAAATTTATTATTATTATTAGTAGAATCCGTTATTATTATGACAAACGGTTTAATTAATAATAAATAAGGGGACAATACTCAAATCCGTTGTAACAAGCAATGTTCTATGGCGAGGTCCGCTGTGACGAGGTTTGACTGTAATATATAAAAAAAAATTAATAAATGGTGGTTAACTGGTTAATCAAAAAGAATTAACCGGTTAAAAAAAGGTCTTAACCGGTTAACCGTTTAATTGCAGTTAACCGGTTAACCACGGCTAAACGGTTAACGGTGCCAACCCCTAGTTTATTTTACATTGCATGTTTATTTTACATTGTATGTTTATTTTACATTGCATGTTTATTTCCATAAAATACATAAAAAAATAATAATAATTAATCAAATGTGGCACAGTAAACCCAAAACTTTTTAAAGTTATGCTATAGTCATATTACCAAAGCATTCATTCAAGAATTTGTCCTCATCCTCTTTAGTTGGCCTGACTATTTTCTTGGGAGTAGGAGCTGGCATTTGAGCTATCTCATGATATAATCCAAATAATTTTTCTAAACTAGTAAAGAGTTCATCTTTATAATATCCACAAAGTTCCTCAAGTTTTTTATTATATGCCTCTTCATTTGGGATAAGTTTTCTTGCTACAGATTTGATATAAGCATCTGGATATTTTACCTTAGTTAAGCTGGTAGCATAACTTATATGGCGTTTTATAAAACTACTATCTTTTTTATAGCCTTGGCGATATGCCATTCTAACTACTTCTTGCAATGCAGATAAAACTCGACTAGAAATTTTTTTGGATTGATTTTCAGACATTTTTTTGTAGTATAGTTAATATATTTTTCCTTTTAGGATACATAGTAATCATGTTTATTCAATTTCGAAATTTACCTGACCAGAAAAAATATATGATAACAATACTCCTAAAGCTTATGAGATTTAATCTGAGTTTTAAGACCATACAACTTGATTGGCATTCTTGACATAACAATTGCCTTCCTTTTTGAATTTAAGAGCACCAAGAGTCTTTGAAGCATCTTCTGGACAATTTATAAGTGGAAGGTTTTTAGAGTCTTCTTCTAGGACAAATCCATCTGTATGAATTCGTCTAACTTTATTTTTATGAGGCTGGATTTCTTCTGAAACTATTTTTCGTGCAAGAGCAGTTAGAAATGGTGCAATTCTTGGATATTCGCCTCTAAATAATTTATCTGGATAAGACAATTTAAATGATACTCTCCTATATTCTACTGGATGGAGAGATTCTATAATGGCACCTTCTGGAATTTCAAATGAGTCATCTTCTAATTCATGTTTATAGCTTCTTTGGGATAATGCTCCCCATATTATATTAATAATGTGCTTTGCAATTTGCCCAGCTGGACCACCCTCACTTTTTATCTTAAAGAGGAACTCTACAATTGCTCCAAACATAACTGCCCCAGGATATATTGCTTTTGAGTCATAAATCAATGCATTTGGAGTACCATCCTGAATTAATGTATATTTTAATCCAAGTGCTCTGGCATTATTTAAATCATGATGTGTGTATTTATTTATTTTACTATATGAGAAGACAGATCTCATATCCTCTTGAAGCTCTACTTCAGCATGGAAAATACCATAGTAAGAAATCATGTTTCCTCGGTTATTGTATATATAATCTGGGATCACATCAAATTTTCCCTTTTTGATAGGAAAGAAGTATTTTTGTAATAAATAAGGATACATGCTAGTAAAGTAATATTGCCTTCCATAACCTTTCCATTCGTTTTTGGCCCATATTAATCCACCTCTCATTGTGTCGGAAATCCATTTAGCCTCTTGAGGATCTAAGGGTTCATTGGCTGGAATACTAAGACTGCACTGCTCAAATGCCCATAAAGCCATGACTTTTTCATTACCACCGCACATACTTATATCCATTGGAATGCCAAATTTTTTCAACTTTTCAAGTAGTGCATCCCTTTCTTCATTAAATCTAGTATATGCTTCTGTAAGAGTTTCCAAAGTTTTATCTTTCTTTTTCCGGACCTCAATATAACAATATTTAGGAGAGCTATAAATCTGCTTTTTAAACTTGACAAGGGGAATAGTTGAAAATGACTTGCCATCATATAATTCTGCTGTATAATTTATATAATCCTCCCTGTAAGCTATTGGAATGGCGGGTTTTGAAAACCACTTAGCTTTTTGTCAATTTGGATTTCTTGCAAGTGAATAATGCCCATTTGCTAAAACAAGATCAATTTTTTGTTTAGAATTTCTAGTAGATTTGTAATTATGCTCTCCACTAATATTAATAGCTATGGAACTTGCCATTTCTACTTCGTCTATAAGGCTTACTGGAATAGGATCATTTCTCTGGAGACGCAATCTTGTTTTTAATAATTCCGGAGTTTTAATTACTGGAGGGAGTTTCCATTTTGTTCCATAAGCCTTTTTCAAGCAATTATAAAGACAATCATTTAGGTCATTATCTTGTTGAGGACTACATCATCCTGCTAAACTAATTGGATTATGAATATATACCCAGAATCTTTCATAAGTTTCAGGATCTAGAGGCCTATCTTCTGGATCTGGCATTTGTGATTCGTCATAATGGTCTGTAAGAGTAAATAATGATATTGGATCTTGTGAACCGAATTTATTACCAGACATTGGCTTTTCATAAAGAAGTGAAACTCGGAATACTTTGTTAGGATATCGAGCCTGAAGCCTTGCAACTTCTTTTTCAATCATTTGTCGAGTATAAGTGCCACCATGATAATAGCATTCAGCAATTTCTATATTTTTGCCTTTTATTTTTCTGGCTTCTCTCTTACCAGGAAACTTCATGATTATATATTATTGTAATGAACTGAGTTATCTATTTAATTGCAAGATTATAATGTTCAAAATTATACGTAAAAAAATAATATATATCTTGGCCATGCTAATTCTACTGATAATCTCTAACTTATTTTAATTCTGCTACTATATCATCTGCATAGTCATCATCATCATCATCATCATCATCACTTTCATAGTCATCATTATAGGCCCGCTCACATTCCTTCTGATTGATGTAAATACTTCTTTGTGGTTCAATGGAAACCATTCTACGACCCTGTGGAGGGACAATAACTACTTGACCTCTTTTCTCTAGATAATTGGAAATTCCGGATGCAATTTCTTGATTAGTAGGAGTCTTCCTCTATTTAATCTACCTCTTTGGGATTGTACAAGCAAATGAAGAGATTGATGCCATGAAGCTTCACATTTTATATCCTGAGGAAGATTGTCTATTTCCTCAATAAAACATTCCCAAGTAAAATCATCAGGATCATTGCCAAATCTCTCCCAACTGCACTTAGCATTATCATACATCTTTTCAATGTCCTCCTCCTTATAAATAGTAGCTTTGGGTTCAGGAGTTGGTTCAATAATTTTGGGTTCAGGAGCTGGTTCAATATTTTTGGGCTCAGAATCTGATTCAATAATTTCCAGCTCAGAAATATCAATTTCAGATATTATGGCATTCAAGAATTCATCCTCATCTATCTGTGGACATAATTCTGGACTTTTTACCTGAAGTTTGGCTGGCTTAGGAGGAATAGGAGGCGGAACTTTTTTAGTAATAGGGGCAGAAGATTTACTA